CACACACACACACACACACACACACATATACTTATATTTGTGTACTCATATTCTTGAATGACCTCTTTTTAATTTGATCCTATGGGGTTGCTCTGGGCTTAAAACCAATTGGTCTGAGATGAAGATTTTTGCTTGAGAACCTCCGGGGTAAAATTCTGACTTCCCAGACCAGTAGATGATGCATTGAGGGTAATTGAAAATGTCATTAGGTGGGGATCACATCTATCAGAATGAGGCTCAACCATGATATGGCCTTGTTCAGTGAGGCTAGTGTGGAAAAAACTGGCTACCATTCGCTTCAGCCCACTAATGAGAATTGGAGTGCATCATTTTAGCAAGTTCACTGCCCCATAGCACTGAAAAGCAGATTTCATTCTTTACTGTATTTCTCTATAATGTTGTTTTCTTCATATATGGATCATCCTTGCGTGACTAGACAGTGGGGTAGTGGCTGATTCTAGTATAAGCATAGCTCCACTGCTCTCTTGGCTAGTGTGCACTGCATAACTTGGCTTGCTCATCTTTACCTTTGTAATTCCCAGACTATTCTGATATCTGAGACACAGTTTATTTCTGGATTAAAACTGTATATTTACACACAGCACTCAATTTTGTGATAAGCTCTCAGAGAACCAAGCCAGCATCCTCACAGCATTTTGCTGTGCTCCATGCCCAGGCAGCTGATCAAATATTAGGGAAAGGATTTGTTTCTGGAGGCTAGGGCTGGATTATGGGCAAGCCAGGAATAAGAAACATTTAGAATAGCTGGTAATCAACCCTCAAGAGCAACCTACGGGTTGAGTTGAATGTCAGTAATGAGAAGGAGGGGTGCAAAATGATTTTATCATGAATTATTCCAGGAGTGAATTTGAGTGTTTCATTCCCAAAGGATCTGGGAGTGGAATGAAAGACTAGACCTCATAGGGTCTGGAAGCCATGCCCTTTGAGGAACAGTTAAGTAACTGGGTATATTTAGCCTACACAAGAGACAAACAAGAGGAAATAGATAGGAGTCTTCAAATATCAGAGGGGTTCTTCTTCAATAGAGGTCCTCACATAGAAGCTGGATTGTCTTCTGTCAGAAGATAACTGGGTTCTTGCATACTGCTTTTCTTTAACTGTAAACATGTCTTGCCTATTCTCCAGCAGTTCCTTCTTTAGAGCTTCCTGCACTGACCAAGCAGTTTCCAACTTCTGCCACCCAGTTGTAAGCTGCAAAGGAATCAAACAATTTTAAATGTAGGGGTGATGCTGTTGCTGAAGTTTCCAGGTCACCATCCTGTGAATCGTGGGCAATGCCTGAGAATCCCGGTCCATTCTTACCTCCACTAATGCTGCTGAGGGAAGAGAGGTCATGGCCACAAGGAGACACCCTCCCACCCCTCACCCCCCAGCTTCAGAGTTCATAGGACAATCGATGCATCCAAGATGCTAAACTCTTCACTTGCTCCCTTACCTGTCCTTCCTTTTCAAGGCATTCTGGTTTTCCCAGGTTGCACTTTGGGAATAATTGGTCTACTGCATGCCAAGTTGTCCCATGACTTCCTTTCCTTTTGGATCATCCTCTGAAAGCTTTAATCTGTTTTAAGGGCAACAGACTCCAATAAAATAAGTCAATACAAGGCAAAAGAAAGAAACTTGTGGTGCAAAGACCACATGTGGCTGCTGCCAAGTTCCTAAAGCAGCTGTAGTGTACATATTGAGTTGCACAATGACATTTAAGGCTGCTGGCTGTTGGACCGTCTGGTGCTGTTTCCTGGCTCTGCTAAAGTATCTTAAAATAACATTCAATATCTAGCCCAAAACCTTAAATGCCAGCTGGCAGAGTTGCTGATATATGCAAGAAATAAAAGGGAAACACTTTGGGTGGATTTTATTTCCTATAACTAAACTGTCCTGTTTCCTCTAATCCCAATTGAATAAAATCATTCGGTAGTGACCTCTCAAAACCCCGGATGCTCAGAACTTCCCAGATCCATCCTGCAGGTCCATTCTGACAAAGCTGGAATTCAGGACATAAATGGTTATGCAAACTTTCAGGAGCTTCATGAGAGCTTTATTAAAGGGTGGGGAAGTGTGTAATATGAGGACTTGCCATTAATATCAAGAATTATAAAAATGAAGGTGCTAAAATGCTTGGGGGTGAATGTTTTACTTGGTTTCATATTACTCCTTCTCATTGGCATTAGAACCGGACTCAAGTCTGAGGGTTGGAATGCCCAGATTCCAGACTTGCAGGAGATATTCTTCAGTTGAAGTCCTCTGGGTTCAGTTGCTGGAGACGGGCCAGAACATTTGAGCTGGAATCCATGGAGAAGCAGGCAGACCCTGCTGTTTTCATAACCACACAAGGGCAGAAAGCTAGGTTTTGCCATTTTAATCCCTGGTCCTTCCAGAACAAAGATTTTGCATATTGCTGTCCCCTTCTGTGCCTCAAGAAGACTTTGAGGCTTGTTACAGTCACAATTCCAGATAGCACACTAATCCCGGAAGGAGCAGTATTAATTTACATAGGTCCACCAATATACAAGGCACTTTAAGGGGAATGAAAAGACGTGTGCCAGCCCTAAGGGACTTACAGGCTAAAAACAGACACTAAGAGGCAAGAAGGGAAGCAGGAAAAGAATATGCAAGCATTTCAGTTAGACATCCTTTTGCAAAAAATGCTTCCAGGCAGGTCTTTTATAGCAAGATAGGAGGAGAAGAATGTCCAGGTTGAAGACATCTTCCACTTGTAAGCCTCCTACTTCCAGGCAGGTCTTTTGTAAGTGTAGAGAGCCAGGGAGATGACCTTGGAGAAGGAATCCAGAGGCCTTTTGGGAAACACCAGGTGCAGAAGAAACATGTGTTAAGTCCAGAGAGGCAGAAGAGACTCAGCCTAGCTGTCGCCCTCCCACCCCACACACAGATTACCGACTCCCTGAGCTATAAGAGGGGGGAAAAGGAAGATATGGACAAGCTTGCAAGATTCTGTTATTATAGTCTATCTCAATAGTTCTAGTCTTCCTGTGGAGTCTCTTTCCTCATTGGGTCTACCTTGACAGCCTGACAGTAATGAGGTAGGGAGAGAAAGATGTCCAAGTTGAAGATACCCTCCACTTGTAAGCCCCCTGCATTTTTCCACTTCACACATTTTCTCTGTATTGTGGAAAAGAGGAAATAGCAGCACAATAACTTTAGCTTAGTAGTATCTAGAGCAGTGTTTCTCAATCTTGGCAGCCACTTCCCCTAGGGAATTCTGGGAGTTGAAGTCCACACATCTTAAAGCTGCCAAGGTAGAGAAACACCGATCTAGAGTCTTCCATCTGGAAGCCTCTTTCATTCCAGGAGAATTTTGGAACAACAGGAGTATTCATGGGAAACCTGAGTTCTGAGGAGGGATTGGAAGTAAAAATGACTTCACAGTGGTGTTTGGAAGCAGCTCCTTCTATAAGAGGCAATAAAGCCCCTAACTTCAGATGGTTAATATCCAGGGTTCTGGATATATGTTTTTCTCCACTGTACCTCCACAATTATAGCTAACAACTGAGGAGACTGTAAATGTATTCTGTTCAGGCACAATGAGTTAATTGTGGATCTTATAATCTCTAAAGTACAATCAGCTTCCAGACCTCTCCCCCCACCAGCCCACCAACTTCTCAGGGACTAGGAGAATTACTGCTGCAGAGTTGTGTTTTTACAAAAAAGTTCAGGAATTATATTCCTTTTTGTTAGCTAACTGATTTCCTTACTTACCTCCTTGGGAAAATTAAGTTCAACAATTAAGGTACAACAGCCAAGAAGAGAACACCCACCATACAACTGAGTTGTTTCCCCAAATTTGATGTGCATTTTGTTTATAAATGAATTTATCAAATAGAAAATTTTAATCCAGCACCTGGCAAATAACTTTGTAAATGCCTGTGTTTTATTCACAGTGATGGATTTAAGGAAATCATGCCCTACGATCATTTCCAGCCACTTCCCCGGTATGTATGACGTCTACAAGATACAGGTTATTAGCATTCCTTTGATAGCCTACTGTAGTGCACTTAGTTTATGATTTCATACATGCATTCTCCTGCTTACTCAAGACCAAGACAAGGAACTTGTTGTTACCATAGATGGTCATGTCTGAATTTGACCGTCTATGACATTTGGTTGTTGAGATAAACTCACTCCAGAATACATGGCATTTAAATACACAGCCCACCATTAATCCACTTGCCTAGTTAAGTGCAGGTATCCCATTAGCAAGATAGGCATAAGATAATAATTGCTGAGTACAATATGGAAGTTGGCTAAATAAAGACAACTCCCAAAAGGTATTAATAAACAAACGATCTGGACTGAACCCTGAGTTAGTTCAAATTTCAGCGGGATAAAAGCTGGGGATAATTGATAGATTTCTACCTGTAAAATGACGCAATGTTGCATTGTCAGTAGGCTATGTGCCTATCTCATTGTCACCTTTGTTCTTTCCCTAATACTTAATAAAAACTCTGTGTCCCATAATAACTACAGCACAGAACTAGAAGAATTAAGGTCCAGCTGCAGGCAACCTTATTTCCACTTACTTTTACTTAACAGTAAGGGAGGGAGGGAAGGATTTCGATCAGGAGTAATAACTTCACGATTTACTAATAGGCAACCAGTCAGCACTCCGCATAACTAAAAAGAAAGTGACTTGGCGCCTCTCCCTGTCACTAGCCAATACTCTCTGCATCACCACTCCTTCAGTGTCGAAGGAACCAATTTCTCATCGACTTGATTTCATTTGGAAGTTTCTTTGTTCACCACTTATGAAGACACAGCAGGTTCATCCCAGGTTGATCTGCTGCCTTCAGCCATTAGAGTGCAGAATTCACACCTGGCAGGTAGAATTCCAGGGATACGGCAGTAACTAGGTCAAAGAAGTTGGCTTGGATTTGACTGCCTCCTCTCTTCCCTTTGAGTTCTCAATGTTTATAAATGGTGGAGCCATATGGAAGTTTCCTTTATGATCCAGCAGAACGTGAGGTAGACTTCATTAGTCAAATGATGGACTTGGGGTAGAGAGAAGTGGAAGTCCTAACATATGGGAGGATCTTGAATGACCTCAGCCATAACTCAGGCTGTAAATGCACTACCAGAATGTTTAAACAGATGGAGAAATTTTGAGAAATAAATAGGAAAAAAAAAATTCCCACGCTTCATGTCCCCTCCCAGTTCTACCTACTTATACATACTGTATACACATACTCATTTAAAGCCATAAAGTTTAAAATACTTCTGGAGTGCCAAGCAGTCCCTTGACCAGTCCAGCCTCTGGAAAACATCTAGTGCATTGCCTTCCCTGAGCTCCCTTTGCCATGCCTGTCATATGCTCCCAGGAATTTGGGACATGGCACATATTTTTGAACTGATGAAATAAAGAAAAGCAGCTGTAAAAACGTGTGCTGTACACACAGCCACATTGCATTATGGCATATTCAAATCTAATCATTGCATATGACAGGCAAATGTTCTTTACTTTCTACTCATGATTTAAAATGTCTGAAGTGCTTCATGTCCGTGTTGCTGCAGACATCCTGACTGCATCAAAAATCTCTACTATTTGGTTATAAACTGCTACTGAAAAGCCATATATTATTCACAGTAATAATCTATAGACTACTATCTGCACATTCCCCAGCAGGAACCATTAGTACAGACTCCTGCCATGTCCTCACTGGTGCGGATGCCTGCTTAGATGTTCCTATCTAAAAGGATAGGAAGCCACCTGCTCTTTTAATGTCCTGCAGTGCCATAGAATAGCAAGCTGGGAGCTGGAAATTGATCCAGACATTTTGAGAACGACTTCCTAGCATTTTCTTCAAGCCTGAAACTAATCTGGGAGAGACACCAGTATGTTTCTGAATATAAATGTGTATCTCTTTCTCTTTTCATATGCTGTATTAGTATACCCTGACATCATCATTACTGGTGCATTAGATTGCCAAAAAGATTACAACTGCCTTGTAAAGGTGGCTTGCAGAAATACATAACCCCTCAGTGTAAAACTACAGCTTTGAAACCAATAGCCAGCCACAATTTACAAGACAGAACTAAGAAACCTGCAAGACAGAAACAAAATTAGAAATAGCAGAAATTAAATCACCATTGCAAGCCTAAGGGAATAAATCTGTCTTAATCTGGGTGTCAGAAGGACAACGCGCTAATTTTTTCAGATTTCTCTACCTGTGCTCCATAGCTCTGGCCTCATGCCTGCATGCTTGAGGAAGGTTGGGATCAGGGTAATGCACAATCGAACACTGGTTAATTTTTCATATTTGTTAAAATAGGAGAGCTGTCCACAGGGGGTTGTCTTTTTTTAGTGGCCCCCTACGGCTTCTTGAAGCCTACAGCTCTGCCCCAAAGTTCCTGTTGAGTTCATTTAGAGTGTTCATCTCTAGTGCAACGGTCCACTAATGGTGGAATACTTTAAAAATTAACCTTTGGGGTGTTACGTATCTCATCAATCATTCCCATGGTTAAGCTAACGAAAAGATAGCAGCAGACGAGCATATTTATCGGGTGATGGTGAAATCATTAGCTATAAGCTTGCGTGTGTTGTCTGGTTTTGATCATGGAAGTTGGGTTTAAATGTCAACACTCAACATGCAGCAAGTTTCATGTTCAGTTTGTGTATGATATGGTTAATTTATTCCAAGTGGAGAGTTATATGAATCATTTCAGACAGGGAACGTTCTCACCTTGCCTTTGACATCTTTGGGAGCAGTTATTTGAATGTACCTTTTGGATTTAAAAGTTTTTGCTCTATCTGTCCTGGGTTTGACTTCTTTAGAATATCTCTGTGACTTCCAAAGAAAAGTTTTCAGTGGGTTACTGTCTGAGTGATGTAGTGGGGATAATTGGCTTCAATTCATTTAGCTGAGCCTGTTACCTACTGCAGTTCTGGATTTTTTTTTAAGATTACTACATACTAATTTCTAGCCTTGATTTTAGAAAAGGCTTTTCTTTTTTTATAAGCAGATACATCTCCAATTGGGGAATAAAACTTGTATTTAGTGATATTTTTTATTGTCATCTGGTTTCTTGGGTTTCAGATAACATGGATCAGGAAGCTACTGGTCATAAGTATTAATGGAACTCTTTGAATATAAATAGAACTTTCCCCTTGGAAATTGGTCCTCACTTCTCTTGCATGGTGATGACTGATGACTGATGCATGGTGATTCAGGGAGCCTACTCAACTTGAATTGAAGGCCCAATTCAAATCTGGGGTTCTGCCTTCTCCCTTGCATTAGTCCTTGGTGCAGTCCTTGGTCTGCTAATTAGAACTTGCTTCCCCAGCATGATACCCTGCAGATGGGTTGAACTGATCACCAAGAATTCCTAGTTAGTTGCCTTTCATGAACAACATCTATGGAGCAGTTGTATTTTCTCAATTGTCCCCAAAGTACCAGACTCTCCTTGGGATGCTTTCAGACAGATGTCTTATAGTATAGTACTGTGAATCAAAGGGTGCTTTAAGCTATATTATCCTTCTTCTTCTTCTTCTTCTTCTTCTTCTTCTTCTTCTTCTTCTTCTTCTTCTTCTTCTTCTTCTTCTTCTTCTTCTTCTTCTTCTTCTTCTTTTGCTTGTTTGTTTGTTTTTCTGGTAAGAATGTTGAAGATTTGAATTCAGCTGGAGCCCTTGTTAGAGGACAAGCTCCTGAAGAAACAGGCTCTTGAAAGAATACTGAGTAATTAAATAGCAGGACAGGACCCAAAGGAATATAATTGTCTGGGATGCATAGAGCATGGGCTGAGCCCAATTATTGGCAAATTATTTGAAGTAAAAGCTGGATTTATTAAGAAAAACATGAGGATAGAAAAGCCTCATTTACCTAAACTACATCTTGATGCGAGGGAAGACTGTTATGAAGTCTGAAACCCAAGACAGTGAGAGAAGTTCCTTTATCTTTTAAACACAGAGACATAATTAACATAGGTCAAGAGAGAAGTAGACATCCTTCCCTTCCTCTGTCTTTCTCCAGTTGCCTACTAGACTCATAGGTGCAAAGCGGTGCTGGAATCTCAAGCAAAGAGAGTCATTCATTCATTCATTCATTCATTCATTCATTCATTCATTCATTCATTCATTCATTCATGTGCTGTCTGACTCCAGACTAACTCTGGGTGTGTCACAAGCTCCAACCACTCTAGCCCAACACCTGGGAGAACCGGTTGGGAGATGGGAGGACAAAGGATACAGATGGAAAGTGGCTCCATCTGTATCCTTCCTGTAAACTTCCTATAAACTATAAAAAGAATCCTTCCATAAACTGTGCTTGGACCATCTGATCTACAAACATCCCTCAATTCCAGATCTTCAGTTATCCTTTTCCAAAGGGAGAAACATCTCTCCAGAATCTTTCCCTGTAGGTGCTTTGCTTCTGAAATCTGGCTAATGAATCTGGTTTGAGATTCATCTGGAAAAGACTGAAATTAAAAGGTTCTGGAAGTTCTGTTCTGACAGGAATGAATTTATGCTCCCTGCAAAAAGTATCTAGGAATCATCCTGCTTATTGTAAGGATTTTAAAAGAAGGGATTTTTGGGAATTCAGGAAGAAGTATAGAATTTTCACATACAATTGAATTACGCTGTTGGGATTCAGTAGCAAGTCTTACTACCAACTGTTTTAAATGTTAAGGGTGTACATTTTTTAACACAAGCATTTTGAGTCCAAAATGTCCTATTTTGAGTTGATATTTTGTGTAGAGAATGGGCTGTTTTTACTATTAGGGAAGTGCTTCAAACTCAGAACAAGCTGTTTTGAGCTCTGTGTCCAGAATGGTCAAAATAGCTTGCTTCAAGTATTTCAGATTTGCAACTGGTTGAAATAGAAATATTTTGCATGCTGTAGTTAAGTATCAATGGCCAAGGGAAAAAGCAGTCTACTATTTTCATTATCACTTGCATCTAAAAAGCAGATAGAAATTCAATTTACTATTCTTGTGATGCTGTTATTTCATTCACCCAGCTGGGAGCACAATCCTTGGACTGCTTGCTCAGTTTCATGTGGAGGTGGAATTCAGAGGAGAAGTTTTGTCTGTGTGGAAGAGACCATGCATGGAGAGATATTGCAAGTAGAGGAGTGGAAATGTATGTATGCTCCTAAACCCAGGGTCATGCAAGCTTGCAACCTGTATGACTGCCCTAAGTGGATAGCTCTGGAATGGTCCCAGGTAAGGAAGCAGAATATTTAAACTTCTTTGGGGGGAAAAATGCCTCTGTTTTCAGATGTACACAATTATTGGGATTATTGATGGCAAGTTATATGGAAACTTCTTTCAGAAAATGTAAACCATTGGCAAATACCCATTCCAAAGACTCTGATATTCATTGGATGCATAGACAATATAATAATAATTAACCATCCCTTCCTCCTCTACCTTACCTTTTAAAAAGATTATTTCATCTTTTTAGGCCTACTAGAGAAGGGAGACACCTGTCTTTATTAATCTGTTTCAAATACCTGATTTTGTTTTATAGTTGCATTTTACATGTTTTCCTGTATCTGAAAGGAAGAGAAGAACTTGAGATGCTATAGAAAAAATAGAGTATGTTTTAAATAGTTTATATATAATTCTGGTTTTTGACCTGGTGTGAGGAGAAGGGCAGATACAGATATTTTTCAGTCTTCTTTCTAGTTCAAACTCTTTTCGAAAATTAAGTTTAAAAAAAAAACCTTCTTTTTTGCCCAATGATTTATAAGTCATTTTAGATTTTAAAATCAATTATGAATTTTAAACAATAAACTATTAATAAAAATGTCATTTATTTCTATGAAATGTATGGGTGATTCATTTAAAAATTAATTAATCAGTTGGTCACCTTCCATTCATTTTATCTACAGTCCCAGGCCAATAAAACACAAATACAGAATTTAAAATACAGGGAAAAACCCCAAATCTGAAAAAAATAAAAGAGGATATAACCCGGCTTCTGCAAGCCGTAGCTGTTGCTAGAAATCTGGCAGACTTGATAGTGGTTGACCAAGTTAGGTCTTGCAGGAGGAAGATTGTAATTTCTCGATCTGAAAGATGATAAAAATTTCTGATAATCAGGTTTATGAGTGCCAGACACCATGGGTGGTACAAAGGGCAGTGTAGCAATACTGCAACATCTGTTGGCCACATTAATTTTTGACTGATCCGTCCCTTTTTATAGTGCACTGTGACATGTGGCCGAGGGTTACGCTACCGAGTGGTTCTGTGTATTGATCATCGTGGGCAGCATACAGGTGGTTGTAATCCTCAACTCAAGCTGCACATCAAAGAAGAGTGTCTTGTGCCAGTCCCTTGTTATAAGCCCAAAGGTAACTGGAATATGACTTGTGGTTAAAGCATTGGTTAGAAGGCATATTTATTTGACAGAAGAACTTTTTTTATGCTGATTGGAAAGAATATTTCCAACAGTGAGGACCTAAATAAATGTTTACACATACTGAATTTCTTCCTCGATGAAGGACTCTTTTCACCTGTGGAAAGAGAATCTTTAGATTCCAAGATCGATGCATATTCCAATAGAGGCGAATATGTGTAGCTCAGGGTTGAACTGTGGAGCCCTGGGGGTTCTCTGAGCTTGGTTCTTTTCTTGCAGACATTTCATTACCCGGCTAGGTAACATCTTCAGTGCTAGAATGGCAGGGCATACTGTTGCATACCCTGCCAGTGCTGGTGGGGGTGGGGGTTCTGTTTTGTTCCTCTGGTAGTTCCTTGATTAGGGTATTGTTTACTGCTTGATTGTGTGCCTGGTGGTAACCTCTGCTTGTCTGGGTGATGACTGCTGGTGAGGAGATGTTCTGGTCTTTTCTATTGTCTCTTTTGAATAGTGTGTAGATGCTGTTTATCTCTGTGTGTCTGTTGATGGCTGCCTTGTCT